AAACATCCAAATACTACCTTATATTACCCGAATACCATAATATCATTATGATTATCAACCCCTCAGTATTTAAACTGTAGCAATAGAATCACACCATTTATCACAATATCAACATGCAATAACTATCATAACGTATCGCATTCGATAACCATACTTATCCTGTTTTCTTTTTTCCGTCATGCATGTTGCTTTCTGCCTAAACATCAGCATCTTGCAGGTTTGATATCTGCTTACCACCACTCAGCATAAGCGAAATTATCAATCATTTGATTGACGATGACGCGAAAATGCAAATAGCAATAATAAGTCAACCAAAAATTTAACAACCAGCGAGGAGACAACAATTTGATAACCGCAATCAGTAAGGCCATCATTTTTTATAGCTATGTTTCGCGTCGTCCGCACGCATACGTTTTGATTTTTTTCGGAAAAAAATAAAAAAAATCGAACATGCACAGTGAGTGTACGATTGTGCGAGTCATCAGTGTGTATAGGTTGCATACGGCGAAGCTGGGATTCAGAAATGGCCTCTAGCCTAGGCCAGCGTTAGTAAATCGTTTGTTCGGCATCTGGGAGCAAAATTCTATGAGCTTACACGAGACCGCATTGATCGCCTAAGCTGAGAGGATGCGTCGTTCCGGAGCTCTTTGCACCGCTGCTGAAGTCTGAGTACAATATTCCAGCGAAGCATAGGCACCATGACCAATGGTTGCCTCCTCTGTCCAAAGTGAATATTTACTCATGCTGATAACCCAGATGTTGTGCTTCGATGTACGATTTTTCTTTCGAATGTACACCATGCACGAGGTATTGTGCCCATGTACAGTGCATACACCTCTGATCAGCCTTTTTATTATTTTGGAACTTTTTATTTTTTTCCACCTCTCGCATATGATTCTGGAAGTTGAACTGACGCGAAACATAGATATAAAAAAATGATGGCCAAATACTAGCTGGATTTTGTGTACACTTTATTCATGTAATGTAAAACTGAGGAGAAAATGTGCAATAAAACGATGAAAAATGTGAAGAAATTTGGATTGAAACACGTATTCGTACAACACTCATCAGGAATCACATTTTCATCGTTTTATTGCACATTGTCTCCACAGTTTTACATTACATGAATAAATTGTACACAAATGTCGATCCAGCATGTATTACTGGTTGCGGTTATAAAGCAATTATTTATGATTTTAAATAATTTTACTCGGTTAAGGAGGCATTTTAATAATTATGGTAAAAGTGGAGAGAACAACATGTTACGAGTTTTGACAAACAGTCCACCAACGTGACCAGATCATATGCAGGCAGCGAGTGCGACAAAATGGCACAAAACTTGCAAGGAGTACGGAGACATTCAGCAACCTGACACCTAGCTCGAACACTTCTCCAAGGCGCAAGCCAACAAACTTCCAACTTGAAAGGCTCAGGTTCGGACATATCCAAGAGGGTAGGAGAGCATATTTTGTTGGATGGAATGACTCCTCCATTCTTCTATACAGTCATTCTGCAAATGGTAGGCTGGTCTACTATTTTTTTCAAACTCGTCCTAGCCCAGCCTTATAATTGAGGATGGTCCTGTATTTGAGGACGGTCTTTTCTTCTTTCAACCCAGTTTGACCCCGGTCTTCTATTTTTCGCCAAACAGTTTTACCCCCGTTCTTCCATTTTCTTGTACGCAGTTTGAGCACTGTCTTCTATTTTTCCCACAGTTTGAGCACGGTCATAAGACTCATTTAGTATACCCGGTCTTTCAACAGGACACGGTCTTGTATTTTTTAAATCGCCCCTGCCCAAGCCTTGTATTCAAGGCATTGTATACGAGGACGATCATTTATTTGCGGAAATACGATGACTTGTACACCCTTGAGAAACACCTCAACTTCAAAACTATGTATTTGCACCGCTGCCTGCATGGACTTGCTAGTCCTCTTCTAGAGATCGCCATCCTGCGAGAGCACCGCGTGGTCTCCACCATTGAGGAGATCACCCCGAAGTTGAGAGGTGCCAAAGTGTTCTCAATCGTCGACGTCAAGTGTGGGTACTGGAATGTAGAGCTCGACGACGAATCCAGTTACTTCACCACCTTCAACACACCATTCGGGCGCTACAGATTCCTTCGCATGCCATTCGGCCTCAAGATGTCGCAAGATGGCTTCCAAGCAAGGATCGACCAGACGTTCGAAGGGTGCCCAGATGTCACCGGCATCGCAGACGACATTGTCACATACGGGACGTCAGACGAGGACCATGATCTCAACATGCAGCAGATGATGGTTCGCTGCGAGCATTCTGGTCTCAAGTCGAACCCAGACAAATGCCGCATCAAAGAGGACAAGATCAAGTTCTTCAGCAGCATCTGCAGCGCTGATGGATATCAGACGAGGCACTTTTGAAAGCCTTGGGTCCCTACGGGAAAACCGCTAGTACGGTACGTCATGGGCACGTAACGACCTGCCGAGGTTTGAAGGTGGCGTCTGGTGTACGCTATGTAAGCTTCCACCTTGCTTGCCATGCACTGTTTATTCCGTCGTCCGTCAGGACACCTGGTGGTCACGTGTTCTCTGTACGGTACACTGATCAGCCAAAGACCTGCAGACTGTGTGATTCACCAGGCCACCTGGCTACTCACTGCCCAAAGGGAACGCGTTCAGTATGGGAGAACGAAAAATCTCCACCAAATAATGAGCAAGCAAGTGTGCAACAGCCGGCTGTACGTTCGTACTCTGATGCCATAAATGGCTTCCAAGCTCCGCCACAAAGCGAGCGCGAGGTAAAGAACCACGGCAACACAGACCAACCAACCATAGCAGCAGACTTAACAGTCGAAACCTCAGCGGTGGACACACAGGCGGGGGCACCAGCAGATGGAGCGGTGATCGGGCCCTATCCTGGGGTATCCGAAGTGCTCATGGAGGTACCTGCACCAAGTGCAACACCCACAGCTCCCAAACACCCACCAGTCTGTGGAAAGGCCAGTCACCAGTCTCCTGACACACCACCCAGTGCGTTTGTTCTGGCAGTTGGCAAGCACACATTTTGCACAACACCTGCAATGCCCAAGCACCCCGACCTACAGGTCCAGTGGGCCAATGAGGCTGCAGCGCTTGAGCAGGGCCAACTGGCGGCAAGGACTGCATCACGCAGTAGTTTGCTAGGCCGCAAGATCACCATGTGCTCGTAAGTCTCAGTCACAGTTAAACACGGACAATGAGCTTAACCCATGCGCTTACGCAATCAGTCCACCAAGACCAACACCTCAACTTAACCCCAACGCCACGCCCTTCAATCCCAACTTCATTCCCAGCACACCTCCAGCCAAGTGCCAGGAGCTTCGAACCATATTCTTAGCCCTAGAACTACCAAAATTTCAACTACCCTAGATGTACCGGAGGCATCATATGACTTCACTGGACTTAAACATACCTGCTTGGAATTATTTTCGGGGATATGTGCAGAAACAGAAGTCCTTGGGGTAAAAAGTACCTTTTAAAAGGAAGAACCAATGACAGGTGCACTATCTTGGAGACAAGCAGCTGGCATTGAGCGCAGCGAAAGGGCGACCTCTCGTCGCCCATTTTTCCGTAAGTTTACGGAAAAATGAAAGAGCATTTGCTTGCCATGCTCATCCTGCAAACTCTACATTTCAGTCCATTACCCCGGAAATGGCTGCTGCTGGACCAACGTGCTGGATCTTTCTCAGCCAGGTTGGTCATTCTTTGACTACTGTGATAAATACATTTACGAGTGAAAGGAGAATGTGGTGTTGAGACTCATAGCAAATGTATGATTTCCGTTCGACGTAGTGTCCGGATACCATCTTCGTGACCAAACCTCAAGTAGCAGAGTACTTCCTGGAAACTATTTTTAGGAATTTTACTTGATTATATGGCGTCCATTCCTATCCAGCCGAAGGGCCGTCGGCAGATTATTACGGGTACAGAGGACGCCTCTTGCGTAAATTTGCGAAACCAATGCCATGATATTGCCTTCACTCAAAGTAGAATCCTCTCCAATTTTCTGTTTTCCCTCCTAACTTGTGCACTAGATCATGACATGGATCATATTCCGGTCAATAAATGCAAATAATGCATCTGCCCCATCTTCAAAATTGTGAATACCTCCGAAAAGCCCGCAAACTTCGGAAGCAACAACCGGTTGCGCGCATTCATGCTTGCTTTGTGCAACACATTTCCACTATCTACCAATTTTGCCAGAGAACCCAGCTTCATGAAGGAAATCCTGCCCGAGTTTTGGAGATTGATGTTCTGTTATGTGTATGGCTCCATAGCTTTATCACCACCATTATCCTCTCGCTCCCTTGACTCCGGTCCCGTATCAGACTGACCGAGAAACCGGAGCAATTAGTATTATATCATCATCTGAAGCATAATATATGTCTCTGTGTTCGGTCACTTCTAATTGCTCGCGCAGTACAGCCTTCGACACGCACGCACTTGGCACCTTCCACCCTCCAGAACCGATCGCTGTAAAGACTCCCCACTGTACAAGTCCCTAGAATACTACAATGCCCTCCCTGCTAGCATTCGTGAGGTCTCCTCCCGACCTGCTTTCAAACAAGAAATCTGCTCACTGCTGATTAACTAAATCTGCTCCTGCAGCGCTCACCCTCTCCCATACTTGTAAAGTTAAAAGTGATGTAAATCACTTTCGAACTGTTTAACCCACAATCTCACCTTCTCATATATTTATCTCTTATTGGCGATGGTGCCATCGTGAGAATAAAGAATTCAAACATCTTGTCCTTCTCCTCCTTTACCATAATTTATGGTGAAAGAGGAGAAGGACAATATGTTGTTGTTATTGTTGTTGTTTATTTTACTTCACCAAATAAACAGGCAGAGATGCCTTCTCATCTGCCCAAAGGACAGGTTCTCACAGAAAGATGAAGGGATGATATGCAAGGGAAAACAAGAAAATTAATGATAATAATATAGGACAGAAAGCACCAAAAGGAGAAAAGGAAAAAAAATATATGAAGACAATTTCATGGTGTCGGAAATAGAAAGAAAATAGTTTCAAGGAATCAAAGAATAGAAAGACAATTTCATGAAGTCAGGAACACGTGGTTGATTTTATAGACATGCATGCACAAAAGTTAATGATTGATACATGAGAAGGTTGGAATTTATGGCAGATAATAAAAGTTTAGTCCTGGTGGTGACAGTCAATTTTTTCTTCAGACTTTTCCCGTTTGTCTCTTTCCCTCAAACCAGTCAATAATAAAAGTTTAACGAGGATATTCACAAAGTAAGTATATCAATGGCAGAAAGAGCTTTTCTGAAGGGACCAGGGACACCTATCACTCTAAAATCAGAGGGGAGAGCGTTCCAGAGAATGCTTCCCCGAAACATCATAGTCGATCGTCCCGCAGGCCTACGAAGAAAGGGAACTTGAAGGAAGTTCGTCACTTGTCCCTGTGTGGTGCGCTGATCTTCCGGAACATTATCTGGGGCCGTTCGAGTGAATAATTGTTGAAGAAGGGGGCTACAGGAGGTGTTAATGCATCGATGAACAAATAAGACAATTTTGTGTGTATATGTATGTGGTAGACTAACAATGCTCAGCAGAGAGAGCAGCGGGGCAGTTGGAGTCAAGAGCCAATGTTACAAGGTTGTACGGATGCAAGCCTTGAACATCTTTTCAAGCTGACCAAGCACGTGTGCACTAAGTCCTTGAAAGAAACTGTTTGAACCATAACACGGCTGGGAGAGGATCATGCTCAGGAGCCACGTTCGCCGCAACAAGATGTTACGAGTTACGACAAACAGTCCACCAACGTGATCAGATTAAATAAAGTCAGCGAGTGCGACAAAATGGCACAAAAGTGACAAGGAGTACTGAGACACTCAGCAACCTGACACCTAGCTGGAACACTTCTCCAAGGCGCAAGCCAACAACCTTCCAACTTGAAATGCTCAGGTTGGGACAGGTCCAAAAGGGTAGGAAAGCATATTTTCGTTGGATAGAATGACCCCACCACTTTTGTCTACTGTCATACTAACTTGTACACTCTTGAGAAAAACCTCAAAATCAAAACCTATATACTTGTTTACCGCTGCCTGAATGGACTTGCTGGTCCTCTTCTGCGAGATTGCTTTACCTCGTCTCTGGTGGTCGTGTTCTGCCCCCCCCCGCCCCGGCAACACCTGATATGGCTTTCGTGCGATGTTTTATTTACAGGTTGACAGATATTAAGTTGGCTCGTACCCACTTAATTAAATAAAGAATTCACGATTCCCGTGAGACTTGGCTGGAAGCCGGGCTTTCCGCATCCGTAGGAACGCCACCACCCCTCAAGGATCCAGGCGCAGATGCAGCCCCTAAAGCGGTGGGAGGTAAGTAGATCAGCTCACCAGCAAGTGATCAAAGACTGAAAAATCCCATTCACTGCATCCATGATTTCCTCGTGCTAGGCCACGAGTTCCCATTAACTGTGGGTCGCAGCACGGCTGGAAAAATCCTTCCGTTTTCAAGCAGGACTTGAACCTGGTACCCTATGTTTCTCATTCATGATCTTACACCAGCACACTGTGCCTGTATACCCAAATCGGAACATAAAACGACCTGATCGATTTTGTTCAAAATTGTACAACTCTACTACCAGAATATTGTCAGTTCCGAAAAATGGGAAGGATTGAAACATACCTTCATAGTTAAAACCTGATTTGACATTTCTGGTATGTTGGAGTATGTTACACAAACACACATCCCAGCATTTTGCCTCTACTGTATCTGAGTGGTGACTTCTGCAGTCAAGCCAAGCCGAATAGGGTGGCTGGGCTTTCTTCTCAGGGTTCTTGGCTGCCCATACTAACAATCTCATTTGGCTCCGAAAGCAAATATCTGTACTTCGCCGGGTTTTTTTCCGAAAGTGGCCAGATCGATTTTCTTCATTTCTTCAAGAAGTACAGCCAGCTATGTGGTTCATACATTAAACATTAGATATTCGATATTGAATCAATGTGAAGGACCTAGGAGCACGGTTTACTGAATCCAATATTGGCTGACGTGTGTGGTGGACAAAAAGCATTATAGTCAAACATAATGGCCGTATAGATTTCATTGAAATGTTGCAAAGGTATTTAAAAATAGTAATGGGAAGAGTTTACCGAGTTATGGCCGCTGCAGCTACCAGAAGCAAACTTTGTCAAGTACTACCAACACGGAGTTCCACCTGGAAAAGTCTTCCACGAGCGGCGTCAGACTCGGGTCATAAAGGGTGGTCAGGATAAATGAGATCAATCAACGAGATGCAATATCCCGAAATCCCATATGCCACATCTCAAAAGAACTACGACAAAAATGCCTTTTTTCGGTACATTCACAACATGACTTACAGGGTTTGTAATTTGGTTGTGGCTTTGAACAGACCGGCAGGTAGGTGAACAAGTTGATTACCGTACAAATCTCTGGGACAACAAAGTAGAATGTTGATAGGATGTATATCACTTCCTGGAAGAATATCTTATTACTCTATTTTGTCGTACTAGTTTGTAGGTGGAGTGTGTGGGTTACAGTGAGGGCTTTTACCCAGCCGCCTGTGTAGATTCACACCAAGTTTGAGCTACGAAGTCTGAAGAAAATGTTGAACGCTGAATTCGTCGGGAATGGATGTGTTAGTGCCTCTACAGCATGCAAAGTACATATACATCTATGGAGGTGCACGGCTGGATGTGGCTGCCATTGGAGTCTGGTAGGTTTGAGCAAACATTCTTCGATGCTCGGGTGTATAACCCTTATGTTCGTTCAAACCGAAACCCCGCCTCCCTGGTGTCCGTCTATGCCAGACACGAGAAGGAGAATAGTCGCAGCTACGAAGCACGAATTTTGCACATCGATCATGCGTCATTTGTCCCCATCGCCCTCAGTTGCACTGGCGGGCAAAGCGAAGCAGCGAAGGCTCTCTACCGCAGGGTTGCGTCCATGGTATCGGAGAAGATAGGAGAGTCTTTCTCGTCGGTGATTGCCTTTCTTCGAGTGAGGTTGGGCTTTGCCCTCATCCGAGCAGCTGCCGCTGCCATTCGTGGTCATCGACGTCCAGCCTCTTCCTCTGCCGTTGATCAGAACCGGTCAGCAGCTTTGGCTGTTGCGCAGTGTGGCTTGGCGTCGTGAGAACTAACTACTTGCACTGTATCCCCATTGTACTTGCACTTCCTGTCAAATATCCGTTTTTTCTTTTCTCTATTTATTTTCTTTACCAGGCGTGGGCCTGGACTATCAAAATGGGTGCCTTATTATTTTATCTGTTTCTGTTTTAATGACAGTCCATTGCAGATTACAATTTTTTTTACATCTATGCTGTGATAGGTGATTTCAAGTAGTGCTTTGAGCCGAATTCTTACTTTGGAGCTCATAATATGGCCGAATTTGGACATTCTCTCAGCCGATAGAAAAGCCGATTAGGCGAAAAATTGGGTCGATTTGGGAAATGCCTAGCTGGTGCTCATGGCCAATGATACTACCGTGCTCGCTGCGAGTTTTTGGGGCTAGTCAAGGGGATATTGCGTTGTGGCGAACAGAGAGCAGATACGGAGGACCGGGCAAGCAGTGCAGCTGGTACGGGTTGGCAAGCGAGGCAACAGCACAGCGGATGGCCAGCCTGGTTAGGTGTCCACCAGGACCGAAAGCATCCAGTGCGCAGCGCTGAACATTGTTCAGTCGCTGGAGGTGACTCTGCACAGCTCCCATCCACACAAGAGGCGCATATTCCATGACTGGTCGTACGAACGCCTTATATACGGTCCACCTGCCGGCGCAGGTGAGGATGTGGGCGGCTCGGTTTAGGACCCCAAGCCGTTGGAGTGCACGGGTGGCTGCGGAGCGTAGGTAGTTTGTAAATTTTATTATTTAAGGGGTCAGTCTACCCATAAATTCCATATGGCATTCAACTGACCGTAACTTTGGTGTCTCTCAATGGATTTGAGTGAAAGTTTGACCACACACTTCTTCCACTATACTGGCTCTCTGGACATGATTTAAAAGTTCTTGCACCTCGCTGACAGGCTCTCCAAGCCGGAAAAACTCAAAATTCCTGCATAGTGCCTCGGTGTGCGCGACACCCAGGAGCCAAAAGAATGCATTTACAACATGTTCACATTTTCGTGCCCATTCTGTCCGTGCACGGGATCCAAACCTAAAACAAGTCCAGAAGCAGCCATGGGTTGTGGGGTAGGGCCCCTCAAAGTGGCCCTAGAATCTGTCACAACGGAACGAGTGTGCTTTCTCTCACAGACTCCCACAGACCCAAGTCAATTTTTGATTTTTGTAGGTTTAGCACGTGCTACGAGGTCGTACCTTTGATACAACATCCTGTGCTGGGACGTCGTCCACAGCAAGCCATTTCCACAGCACTGCACACCAAATCCAGGATACCCTCAAAAATCGGCAAAGACTACCACTCGCGTTCCACTACTGCCTAGTACTGAATCCTACCTGACTTCTTGACACGACTCAAACTTGCCAAAGTCACTAAATCAACGTCAACCACAATATTCAAGCCACATATCTGCAACGTCACGAGGGTGCTGGCAAAGGTCCTGCTGCATGTGCAGCCCAATACGTGGCTAAAAAAAAGCAAAATTCTGCACACTTTCGCGTGTTTCCATGATAGGACAAGTTTCGCACGGTCTGCTCATATTCAAATACAGTGCTGCCAAAAAATGACAGCGTGCAAAAGAATCTTTTTCCTTGCAAGGGCACATTTTTTCGGCCATAACTCTTGAGCGGCTGGTCAGATCGAGACAAAATTTTCAGAGATTTTGCAGCTACATGTAGTCATGCTCTTACAACTGACGTAGCACTGGAAATGAATTTACAAATTCGATTTTTCACCGAATTTTTGGGTGGTCTGCCACCTTCAATGATCTCCCAAAGGCATAGCCTATCTGGGTGATCAGGTGATCGCTAAAGGTCAACTGGTGTCCATCTTCACGCTAAGGAGGGTGATGCTGGTTGTCTCGGGTACCAGTGTGCCATCAAACAGGAGTGCAGGGAGATCTAAGCAGGCACGTCTGAGGGTGACTGTCATGGCCTGGGATTTGGTCGGGGCAAAAATCACTTTCAATGTATGGCCTCTGAGGGTGGCTGTCATGGCCTTGGATATGGTCGGTTGAAAAATCACTTTCCTTGTTTGGTCCCACTGGTGCAGTCTGTCAATGCCCAGCCTGCTGCAGCCAATACAGTTCCTTTTCACAGTGCTACCCGACAGAGCGATACGCAATCGCAGCAGCCATTCGTTTTCGTCAAACTCATTCTTGACACAGACGTCCTCGAATAGGTGGAGATAACGCTCCAGTGGCTGCCTTCTGTCGTATGTCGATACTTTCATTAAAGGCCCATGCCCACCGCTGTGACAGGGAGCCTCCGCTGAACCTCCCATCAACCTCACACGCGCAGCGTCACCCATTTCATCAATCTATCGCCTTCAAATACATACCGAATTCCGTTGGTGAAAAAGTTGGCTTCCAAATAACCTAGTTCCTGTTTCATGCTCGGTTCGTATCCTGGAGTGGTCTCCAAATGTTGTGAACCCTCTGTGATTCTCTAAATTGTCAGGATCGAACGACCACACTGCACGAGGACAACTATTAACTCTTGAGAGAATATTTCACTTCGATCAACAGCAACTAACGCTAAAACCACCAGGTAGTTATAGCGTGAAAATGACAGCAAACACATACAACATACAACTATAGCGCACACAGCAAATCACACATAGCGCATGTAGCGTATACCACGTCGTACACATCAGCGGTACGGCAGAGTCAAGATACAACTGCATTGAAACGAACACAATGCCACAAGCGAGAAGGCCTGTCACACTTGAGAAATTGTGGTTTCATAACAGTAAGAGTTTCCATAACTTTCGAGATTATGCACAGCAACAAGAGTACATAACCCCCAAGAGTGTGCAACTGCCTGCAAAACCACTATGCTGTGCTGCGACGGCAGAACTTCACATCACGTGACATGGTTCAAAAGGTTATGCTGGCAAACAGTGCAAAGTGACGACAAGAGAGTTCCCAAAGTACCCAAAGCTGGGCTGCGTACAACCCTGTATCTATCATGCACAGAGTGCAAATAATGTGTACGGGTTCATCACGTGATGTGAAGTTCTGCTGTCGCAGACCCCATAGCTGGAATTGCACACTCTTGGGGGTTATGTACTCTTGACAGCAAGGGTACGGGCCTGTAATTCTTAAGGCTTGAGCGGGAAGATTGCTTGTGGATTTAAACCATGTTGGCCGTCTTCCACATCCTAGGTCGGACTCCAGACCGGACGCACTGATCCCTGTCTCCATTCCCCTGTACACTATACCTGTACAATGTCCTTCATTACTTTTTAAATTGATTGCCCACCCAGCTTCGCGAAATCCCTTCGGGCACTCTCTTCAAATCCCAGATATCCCTGCTGTTGCAGAACTCTGTATGCTCGTGCAGCGACCACCCTGCCCATACACGTATTCACTAATCCCTGCTCACCCAATTTTTCATCACTCTTCCTCCTCTCTCACACTATTATCGCTTATTGGTCACTGGGTAAAGTGAGAATAAAGTTTTGACAAAAACCACGTTATGAATTTGCAGTTGAAAGCCCTATTTGAATAAGGTGACGAGCTGTCTTTGATGATGCTGTGCGGTCCATGTACCCCATCTTTTTCATAGCTACGGGAATAAGGCTGCGTTTACACAAAGACAAAATGAAACGAAACGAAACGTAACGAAAACGGGCTGGCCTCGAATAGTTTCAAATCTTTCACACGAGAATGGAAAATCGTTTTGAACCGTTTACACTAAAACGGAAAACGGGCGATCAGGCTAGAGTTAGCACGTGCTGGTTTGGCGCAAGGGCGGGAAGAAACACGTTAGTTGGAGTTGGTACGTGCTGGTGGTCGCAAGGAATGGGTGTTTCCCGCTAGTTATATTCTGGCAAAGATGGGTTCCTTGACCGCGCTCCGTTTTCAATCTTTTTCACTGTTTTCACCTTTTACACGAGAATGAAAACCTGTTGAAAACTTTTCAAAACACTTTGAAGTGCTTTTCCAATTCGTTCCGTTTAGGTATCGTTTTCGGTCGTTGTCGTGTAAACGATAGTAGTAAAGCCAACGATATCATTCCGGTTGGGTTGTATTTCGCTGTCGTGTAAACGCAAATCGTTTTCAATCGTGAAAACGCAGCTTTACCGCATAGTGAGGACTCTTGATTGCCATTTAGAGTGAGATTCGTTTTGAAAATTGACTTACATGTTCGTAACGATCTTGTTATTCTGAAATGCTGAGCCACTGAGATTCGTCAAACCGCTAGAGCGCAAAGAACTAGATGCAATAAAGCACAGAATAAAGCGGTATTTTATACAAAAATAACGGACCAAGGAACTACACGTTAGGCTATACAGTCCATTAAGACCACCAGTTACTAAACAATCAGCTCGTGCGATAATACCGCACGACACTGACCGACGGTACAGACGTTTCACGGCTGTGATGCATGCATACTCCAGCGACATTATGTACCGTACGACATTTCCCCGTCACCCCAGTGATCCATGATGCGGTCTTACACGACCTTGCTGCCTTTTTCAAATCTCTGGAAATATTTGGCAAGGTTTAGCCTATGTTTCTGTCAATTCCAGCCGTTTTCTACGCCGGATTCGCGAAGTCTCAGCGAATTCACCTTCCTGCCTTCAAGCTGCGCAAGCAGATATTTTGTCGTCAAAATGCGCAATAGGAAAGTGAATTACGATCTTTTTTTCAGTTCGTTCTTCCTCGGCGTGCCGACCATTGGCGTTTATCAGAATTGGCTCACATTCGAGGCTTCCTCCTAAGGGGCGCAAAATTTTTGGCAGCCTTCACGCCAATGGTAGTTATATTTTCATTGCCGCCCAGATTATCGTTTTTGTGCCCAAGTCGATTTGCGTGGCGTACTTGGACGTCAGTTGCAAGTGTTTGCTGATATATGCAGAACGAGTGGAGGTGTGTTCTCCTGCCTCAATGTCTAACGAAGACCCTGGTTTCGTCCGCCATAGGAGGGAACCGTGCATCCTTCGTTCTGCATGTCAGCAAGTACAAATCAGACATGCATCCAATGAACATTTTTTGAAATCCATGCTTTTGAAATGTATGTAGAAGCAGGACATTGTGTACAGATTTTAAGTGTTAGACAGATAGGCATGGTTTTTTTGTATTACTAGTTTTACTGCAGATTTAGGCCTCGCACAATGAAGTCTGTCAACGCATGCGTGAAGACCATACGGAAATACTCAAAGTAATTGAACAACAACAAACGGCAACCATGATTCAGCTTATAATTATATCTTGCACTGCATCAGCACTAAGCACAGCATGGCACGCAGGACAGTGCCGCAGCCGCTGGTAATGGCCGTACCCGGTTTTACTATTCTCGGCGTTCATGATAATTACATGTAACATGTTCAATATGCAAATGATTATGTAGAACACTAATAGGCTATCCTTGTACACTCCTCACTAGAGCCCCTCCTAAACTGCTTTCTTCTTCAGTGAGGACTTCTGTACAAGCTGCATTATGCAGAGCATCAGTTGCTACCGGAGTGTGTCGCCAAAACAAACAGGTTTTTATTCTGATGCGAATAAGATACACAGCATCACGCATCTTCATGACCGTGCCAATCCCATGGAGCTGGCTCAGGGCTCGATGGCAATGCAGTTCACCTGCTGAATTGACAGATGTCCATGAATTCATTTTAAAATAACAAGTCGGTCAAGTGAGAATTCGGCAGGCATAGAGCAAGCTCCCACGTAGGGAGCAACACGCAATTCAACAATTATCGCCGAAGTTGCATCAACCTCTTCTTCACATTAATTCCAATACGGCGAATTAAATCAAAACTGTAAGAAGCTAAATAATTCTGTAACTTGAAACAAGCATTGATAGAATAACACCTATAGCAGGTCCATGTGCTTTAAAAGTTAGAGACTGGAAGATATCCTCTATTTTTACACTAACAACACAAACATGGAAGCGTTGCGGGCAACCAACTCCGCCATGCTATGACACTTGATGATGTATTGTGGTACTTTGCTTATCACTGCAAGCCCACTGGTTGACTTGACCAACATCCATTGCTTCTTTCATGACGAATATCAGCAGTGCAACTGTGGCAATAAATATCACCACCTCCAATGCCGCACTTATTGGCGGAGCACATTCTACTGGAAATGAAACACTTTAATGTTCAGTTAGTGCTGATCTGGAATAGTATGGAGAGCAGGGTGGTGAAGGGGTACACGCAAATTCAACATCCTTGCCGATGAGCACTGTGGAGCATGTGCAATGCAGAAACTGCTGTCCAATAGTATACAGAATCTGATTTCCAGGAATCCTAGAATCCTCGCACTGCCCCCAAAGGTGAAGAGCACATGCATGAAGAGATGTACATGTAGCTGCTATGTCATCAACTTTGCGTTGAGAGAGTAGCAGACGATCGAATTCTATCCTTCTCCTTCTCCAAGATGAATTGCAATCAGTCTAACGATTTATTTGTGTTCTTTTCTTATGCACGGAAATCTGGCTCTAAGCTGTCCTCAGGGGAGAACATGTTCTGGAATAAGAGCAGTGGGGTTCCATCTGTTGACATCATGATGGTAGCGAGTCAAGCAAACGTGCCCCCTTCGTGTTCCGAAGTTTCAAACACACCGAATTCCATGATGCACTACATTACTAGAATTTATTACACTGCATCATCTTGAAAACAATTCCTGTATTGACTCCAGGACATACTAACTTCAGTACTCGCCGAAGGGAGGCTTCCAGGTCTGGGTAGACTTATTCTCCTCCAGCATGGCATCATACGACCTCTCTAAGGCACGAATCCATCGCCCCAAAAACAAAACTTTCTTCGATAAATTTGAAAAATGTGCAGAAAGACTGCATGCGTTGGTACGCTGTGCGTACGCGAGCTGTTGCGATGCGGGTTGCTACGGTACGCCACCATATTGATAAATGTCGCACTTGGAACTGCCCTGGTTTCACAACTAACTAGCTAACAGCTTTAGCAGATCTTGGATGTGCACTCCAACAGCCTTCCAACTTGAAAGGTTCTAAGTTATAGAAATAACATCAGGTAGGAAAGGTGAGCGCAAGCAAGATAAGCACGAGCTGAAAGTCTCCGCTGTGAAGGACGTTGGCAGATGTTCATGCATTGCGATGACGATACTGGCAAGACCAATGGACAATAAGGTCGAACCACGATTCAAGATGTCTCAGCACTATGTCAGTTTTGTGCCTAGTTCTTGCACTTTCTGACTGTACATAGTAGTGTTGAAGCGAGCATATCTATAAATAAAAAAAAGAACGATCAGTTCCACTAACAAGGAAGCTATCGAGCGAGCTAACGAGTTTCATTGATGGGGCAATTATAAATTTTTGGATATACTTTTTTCAAAGTTCGATTTTTCAGCTGGTTCAAATTATCACCGCAAATTATCACCACTGGCATAATTGGGGTTGCTGCTGCTTCACTTTGGACTGCTTTTTGGTGTCGAGATGTCTTTTCGGCACCGTGGTTAAGTAGCCTTTGTAAGAATAGACCGTTTTGCAAAGATTGCAAGTAGCCCTGGTCTTCGCTGCATCGCGGGAGAAAACTTCCAAACGACTGAGCGTAACTTTCACTCAGATGCGCAACAAGACATCAGTAGAGTCCACCAAAGCTGCAATGACAGCACAAGCAACTCAAGTGTGGTGCAGGCATCCAGACACTATAACTGCGAGTGATTTTCACTTTGAGCGGGACTGGACTCTCTATCGACCAGGGAATCGTAACATATTTTACGACTCCCCGGTCGACATGTACTGCCATGTGTACGGAGTACGGTGTACAATGTTTGTTAGTGCAAACAAGCTTGCCGCACAAACGAGCAGAGTTTCTGGCGAGCGAGCTAACGAGTACCGGTTGAGATCGTTTTAACACTAGTATGTAGAATCTAGTTACAGTGATGGAGAGTTACTCTTAACTCGAATTAAAATGTCCTTTTCATTTCTACAGTTATCGTTGGTTCTACATCCGACTTTAATATATTTATTCTCTTACAGTTGTGATTTCTTTCACTTGTGATTTTTTCTCCTCCCCTCCCCATTACTTCCCATAACTATTATCAATAACCTTGCCATGCCGTGTATGTCGCTTACATGTATAAAAGGAGACGCCATCGCCTGTTTGTGTAACTCTAAAGCTGGTTCTCCAACTCGGCAAATCAGTTGATCTATGCGACTTTGTGCCTTTGTATCACCTTGACGTTTGTATAGCAAAAGGCATGCAACAACGTTATTTAAAAGACCCTTATGTATTATCTGCATCAAAACGTGTTTCATTTATTCAAAAGGATCAAAAGAATAACTCCATCATTGAATAGTGTTCAATGTGAATACTAATATGGGCACAAGTGCTGAATATTTCTACTTCCTCCGCGTCATCGAAATTGTCGCAGTTTTACTAGTGACTCGTCACTTGTTACTGACAACTCCATAAGCTCCAGTCCATTTCGTAAGGTTTTTGAAATATTTGTCGCAGTTTTACTAGTGACTCGTCACTTGTTACTGACAACTGCATAAGCTACAGTCCATTTCGTAGGGTTTTTGAAATATTTCAAATTTGGCTGGACCTCTTTGAGAATAGTTTTCGGAATATTGCTCAGGACCGCTCCATAAATACTCTCATATAGTTTCTAAACGATTGGATAACAGACGCCCAATTTGGAAAAAAATATGCACAAAGTGATCACAGATTTTATGTGGTATAGATGCTGGCATAACGGTTTTTGCCTAGGTACGCGTCTATAGTTTTGAAATGCAGGACTGTAAGCCATTCTAAACCTATTACACAGTATGATAGTCTGAAGACTAGAGTAACGTTCCAGGAAAGTTGGACTGAGAGTTTTCATGCAGAGATGAAGTCCTCGTCGTCGTTGATGTCAATGGACGCAAAAATATCGCTCCGAAACATTTCAAGGAAGGTTAAAAGTTGGTCGTGCCTCATCACAAACGCTTTGACTTCCTCCACAGGACAAGAGCTGCTATGCTTGTTGTTTGCTAGCTCTGGATGATTTCTACTTTACCACCAACGAAGCCTAGTAAGAATACACGATCATTGCGAGGTCGGTTGATTACCGTCGGCGGAATCACGTCGATCTTGAATTGAACTTTTTCTAGCCGTGGCATGCTCATTTATTTTAGCTGTGTGGTCACAGCTCGTGCATATAAGTGTACCATCACGTCCAGCTCGCCGTCTTTTTCGTGTGGGGTCTACACTGCTCTTGCAGGTACAATCATGTACTGAGTGTGTCAGCCAGAGCGACACATTTTATCGATGTTGCAGGCATTTAGTTTGCTGATCCCTCGAATTTTCTCCAAGCGTTGCCACTTGTTCCATGAAGTCATTCTCACCCCAGCTAAGGTAAAACAGAGATGAGGCTGGAGTGAGTGGCCATTAGCATGAGAAATGTGCAGGCTGCAACGCCTGACTAATCTCAGCGAGTCGGAATTACCATCGCAGCGACATCAGCAAAGAAATTGCGCCTACAGTCCATTCATAAAAAGATGGGTCCTGGCTCTGGCGAGCTCCCGTATTTGGCGATTTTTCGTGATTTCATTGTACACAGTGCAGTGCTGCGAACTTTGAAATTTGAAAAAGGGTCCAAAAAGATTGCCTGAACTGGGGTTCGAACCGCAGAATGCACTGTTGCAGGCGGGGTCAAACGGCCTGGATTTTGATGGTTTTTCCCAATTCAGTGCTTTTGGGGCAAAACCTGGCCGAAATCCTATTCTCGCTATGGCTTGCTTTTTGGACAAAAAACTTCAGAAACATAATTGGAAGAGGATTCCATATGGGATTCCAGAAAAAAATTCTAAAAAACTCAACGTTTGACCCATTTATGGCCAAAAGCTAGAAGTTCATTTTTTTCTGAATGGACTGTAGTTCAAAAATTCCAGCTTTCAATAACAGAAAATAGAACTTTGCCATCACCCTATACTGCTGACTATCGCTTATGTCCGATTCCTTGCCTCTGGTACGAGTGCTGGTGAGTAAATACCCCGTTTTATATCAAAAGTCAAACTGCAACAATTTCGATGACGCAGAGGAATTAATTGCTGTTATGAATACGTAAGTTAAAGCTTTCAAACGCCAGACCATGTAGAACTCACATTTGGACAATGTTTGGGCACGACATGACAACTCCGTTGCTACATGTACACGAACCACAGGCTTTGGAAGGTTCACTCCAAGCTAGCACCATACAAATCACAGTTACCGTTAAGACCTGCGAATATGGAAATGACCAGACGCACAACCAGAACAGAACAGAAAACGTCTTCTGGTAGAAACTCAAAAATACAACACAGCAGTGTTATCAATTACCTAATTATTATATTTGTATACGTACACAAGGACGCTAAACATTCTAAGTTTGTGGAGGAGATGAGAAAGTCAACGCTGAGGTGCAAAAATATAGGTAGAATCTGGATAAATCAAACCCCAGTATGCCAGGGCATTCCAATTATCCAACCCCCAGAACATATGCCCGTTTTGAGGTTCGAATTATCAGACTTTGCTATTCCCGTAGCTATGCAAAAGGTGTAACTTCAGTAACGTTTTGCGCTAGCCAGGGTCCACACAGCTTTAATGCCATGTGTTTGTTTGTTTTGTGCCCTCGCGTACGTCGGCATGCCTGGCGCTATCCCGTACCTGTCTCGTACCGTACCATCAGAGACATCTGGCCACAATATTCAAATAGGGCTTTCAAATGCAAGATCATAACGTGCAGCAGCTTGGAAGAATGAGTATGTATGCGAAGTGTATCGGGGGGACGCATACGGTGTGATAGTGCGGGTTCGAATCCTAGGTTATGTCTTGAGTAAATTAGGAGAGATGAAAAATTTATAGCATCACTATGCTCTTTCGCCTTGGTCATCAAGGTTGTAGACGGTGTCGTATTCCTTCGAATGCGAAGAGAAAGTTATTTTATTTCGCTCAGGGCCCTACGCTATTCTTATTTGCCTAGCTCATCATGCATGTTATTCGAACAGATGGAAACTTTTGCAGTACAATGATGTAGCCGATCAGTTCGTTATGGTATGTTTGGGCATTGTAGCCGTCATGGTCGAAGTAAAACACTATAGCCAATTAATGGAAACAAAACATTTCCATTTGTTCTAATAACATGCATGAGCTAGGCAAAAAAAAAGCTAAGCGTAGGACCCTGAGCCTCCAAGCTCTCTCATGTTAATATCAAGAGTAGTAAAATTACGATTGAGCTGGCTTTAAACTCTGATAAGGCCCCTGCGGCAACGTTGCTCATATGTTGTTTCCTGGATAACGAGACAGACCTCATTCTAAAAAAAAAGCATAATACAATATTGAGTGACACGTTTCCTATTCTTTAGTCCGCTATACTACAGAAACCCATTTAGCAGAAAAGCATTTAAAGGAAGCCATGATGCGCTTCTAGCAGGGCACATAACTGAAGGTGGCTGGGCTAGTAGTAGTAGAAGTATTAGTAGTGTTTATTAGACTAGGGAGTCCCAACAGGCATGGCCCCGCCATTGTTACAGGGAACCCTAGGTGAATCTTTGTGAGGTGAGCAAATGTATCAGCAGATTGTGCCCGACGACAATTTGGAGGAATAGCATTCCACCGACCTGCCGCCAGAAATGAAACCGAGTGCAGTCCATACTCAATTTCTACAGTGGGTAATACTAAGGCAGCTGTATCCTGGCCACGAGTACGAGCATTTGTGTGCGGGCCACCTGAACGCAGGGTAAACAGTGATTGAAGGAGTTGCTAGCAATTGATGACAAGTAGTGATAGACAAAACCGTATAGTTTCAAATTAACTCTTTACTCAAACGAATGCAGATGACACAGTTGTAGAACTAATGCAGTTGGGATCATTCTATCTAAACCAAATGCATTTTTCATCGCAATGTGGCTGACCGTTACCAGCCTGGGTACTGTATATCACCTTATTTCCGGTGTTGTAAAATTTCGGTAAAAGCCAACCCCTGACTTTTCGGTGTAAGGATAAATTCGCATGGCACCAAAAAAAAAAAAAAAAAACGCTCTTGCACTAATATCTCCGCCAAGCAAGGCCAAAAGGCTCCACATATGTATACCGGTACATGTTATGTATGTACAATGTACTACCGGTATACCAGTATACAAGTTGATTTTTTTTATTTGACAGTGATTTTCATGATTTTTACATATTTTTGGTATTTCGGAAAATTTAGGTGTAATGTTAAATTAGGTGATCCAGGACCAGTACCGAAGTTACCGAAATTTAAATTACACCGAAATAATGGTGTTATACAGTATATGGGATAGTTTTCAAACAGTGCACATACGCATTACTTGCACATCCTAGATAAAAAAATCATCGATTAGTATACAGAGGTATTTCACAATAGAGACAGGGGAAATGACAATATCTTTACAGGTCAGGTACACTTTACAAGGCTGGGCTCGTGCAGGCGGGGCAGGACGCCGCATCAACATGACCTGTGTCTTAAAGGAGTTGAACCGAAGGCCATTTTCATCGAGGTGATGCTCTAGCCACCGAATACTATCCTTCAAGCGTAGCATGATTGTAGCCACATCACAGCCGGATACATATAACGCAATATCATCAGCGAGCAGCTGCACCATACTCTCGCGAATAAGTTCGGGTATTCGGCGAAGGTACATGCAGAAAGGCAAAGGCCCGACAACAGACTCCTAGGGGACCCCTCTTGTACAGGGTTTGGTGTCACCCTTGTCACCACTCACAGTAACCTGCTGACTGCGATTCGTGAGATAGTCTGAGAATCACTTGAGGACAGTGTTGCCTATGCCAGTTGCGGCTAGCTCATCCAGTAGACCTGTGGGGTGCACACGGTCGAACGCCTTGCCCATATCCGCAAAGACTTCTACTCAAGTTCTGTCTATGCAAAGTGTCAGGGCATCCTCACAGCTATGATGTGAGAGGTACGCAAATTGTTCAGCTGCTATGGCAGATAGGTCTGGATTCTGGTAGGAATATGAAGTGACTTAAAATTGTGGACAATCTTCTCTAGGATCTTGGCAGCGATATGTAACAGTGAGATTGGTCTGTAGATGGTGGCTGAGGTCTTATCACCGGATCTGTAAACAGGGCAGACATGGGCAATCTTGTAGGCAGCAGGAAAGATGCCAGACCTAAGGGACTGGGGGACGATAAAAGTTAGGGGATACGAGACTTAATCTCTGCATTATTTCAGGATGCCGGACAGAATATCATAGGAGCCGGTGGCTTCGCTGGATGCAAGAGATTCAAGCAACGTCGAGATGGCATTGACGCTGACAGTATCAAACTCCAAAAGGGTAGCGCCATCGGGGTCTGCAAGAGGCAGGGGCACCTTGACTGGTCTGGCAGGGTCATGGACGATCTCGGCAAGGGCACTAGTAGTCATCAGATCAGGGAGTGTGGCTGCTGGTGCAGCCCTCACTGCTGTTCTACCAGACTAGCTATTGATACTGGCCCATTAGCCTCGTGGGTCATGGTGACGATTTTCGAACTCTCTGATGTAATACTGTGACTTCAGCTGCCTATTGAGGAGAGTGCCTTCTCGCCGTATTGCACGATACATCTACCGAAGCTAATGATCTGACGGGTGAGTGCGTACCTTTCTATGTATGTGGATTCGTTGCTGGAGGAGGTGTTTCAACCGAGGTGTCTAGCCAGCTACCGACTCTGGAATGGCCTGCAAGTTAATATGAAGTCGCTAGTATCTGACGGTGGATTCAAACGCATGCTACGCGTATTTTTATTCTGTTAAATGTAATGGCTTTCGTAACCTGCTGATGAGGCTCGATAGAATCATACTACGATGACCCGACTTGTAAATTTGACATCTCTTTTTCTCAGATGGAGAGCCAAGGAACTTTTTAAACATGGAAATCGATAGCATACCTTGTGTCCACAATTTCCCGTGTTTATAATTCAAACCTTTTTCCTGCTCGTCCTGACCCTGCCTCCCCTCACTGTTACTTCCATTTGCGTATTATAATTATAATTTTACTTTCTCTTCATCTCTGACTCTTTTTACTGGTTGTCATCGCTTTCATAATACCGTAAAGTATCGTTGATCCGCCCCCTCTCTTATTCCCACCCTATGTCGATTTTCTAACTGTGAAGCGATTTCGGCGTAGACAACGAAATACGATGTTGAACCGACGTTTGCTTTGCTGTACTCAATATGTGCCAATCCAGGATGAGAATGTGCACAATTACGCACATCGAGTCTGATCCTCCAAGTTGTTGTACATCGTACTGCACTTGACAGCTTTGATCTAATTCCCACCCCCCTGTCGAAAAACCAGCTGGGAAACGGCATGGCGTGGGGGCGGATCAACGGTACTTTACGGTATTGGGCAGAACTGCCCGTTTGACATGCGATGTATATTAAATAAACAACAAAAACAACAACAGCTTGCTCACTCCATAAAATATCAATATACCCCACAACACATACGCATGCTCAACACCCCCGCTCAGGTTACGGCCCAGTACAGCCTTCGACCCGCACGCACTTGGCACCTCCCACCCTCCAGAACCGATCGCTGTAAAGACTCCCCACTGTACAAGTCCCTAGAATACCACAATGCCCTCCCTACTAGCATTCGTGACGTCTCCTCCCGACCTGCTTTCAAACAAGAAATCTGCTCACTGCTGATTAACTCAATCTTCTTCTGCAGCGCTCACCCTCTCCCATACTTGTAAAAATTAAAGTGATGTAAATCACTTTCCAACTGTTTAACCCACAATCTCACCTTCTCATAAATGTATCTCTTCTTGGCGATGGTGCCATAGTGAGAATAAAGAATTCAAACAATGTTGGTGCTTTTTTGACAACATTTACATCATCTTTGTTCAATATGCGTACATGTTGCGAACTACACCCTTGTTGAGGTCGATTGGGCCAGCGTTGCTCGGACTACACGGTGTGCCCGCACTCAATCCAGATTTGCCAATCGATGACACCCCTGCTGGAACGTTTAATCCGCTGCTTGTCGTGACCAGCACGAGCGGTGAAAGTACAATATGAGATTTAGACCACGTGATGTGTGAAACTATCGCTGTTTGCGGATCTACAGTTGTGGCAAGTGAAATCCGACACTTATCATAGGGGACAGCGCCACAAATGGACACCAATGATGTAATGTACTGCACCTAATTTGTACTATAGAGCCGTATGCATCCCAAACAGATCGAAAGGTCACAGTGTAGATACACACAGTTCACAAACATGGTACACATAAGGAGTATTGGTATCCAATCCCTATTCATTTTTGCCAGCATCTTTTGAACCTTGACTGTGATGAGTACGAGTTTTGTCATCAGACAGATAAAGTTGTATGTAACACATGTACGAGGTGGTTCGCAATTTTTGGACATGTCGTAATTTTTGGAAAAATCAGTTAAATATGGAAGTAGAAACCTCCTGAGTTGTTGTCCTTTCCTTGGTGGACAAATCTTTGACAAGAGTGTCTTCTTGTGGTCGTCAAGTTTCTTCGTGCCAATTTTTAGCGGTGAAGGCCGTTTCTTTCTGGGCGTTTTCTTTATTATTACGTCCGTGAAAAACCTTTAGTGACCCTTTAAATTGTGTGTCACATTGAAAAGCCTTGAAAAGCTTGCTACGGCCTGTCATTAGAACTCATATCAGCCGGTCTCATAGGCATAGCCTTACCCCATTTTCATGTCCTGGGCAAGTTTTACTTGTTCACACCATTGCAGACTGCTGCTAGATGCTATTTAATTTAGTTGTCCAATAATTGCTCGCATTGAAAAAGCAGTAGAAAAAGACACCTTCTATGGTTTGGTTGGGTTTGGTTTTTATTATTTCAGTTCGTTGCTCAACAGTACAAAGTACAAAATTAATATCAAGAGGGACGAACGAAAAGAGAAAATAAAACAGAGCAGAGAGGAAGATGCAACTGAAAGGAAAGAAAAACGGAGAGAAACGGAGAAGGAATGTGGGCTGGGCGGATTCATGAACCATTTCTAGAGCAGGGCAATGCATGAATCAGGTCAAGTTGTGACCACATGCTTCAACTCTATGCCTTCAGGTGTGTGGGTTGGTGGTAAAGCATAAGTGTGCCAGTAGAAAGCAAGAAAGGAATTTAAGTTATCTTACAAACCAACATAATGGGGTGCTATTTAGAGTGTCCAAAAATAGCAAATGACCTCGTACTGTCTGTATGGAGGGCTGCAGGGCCTGAAGACTGCATGGTGCAGTCCCTTATGCTAAGTGTTGGATTTCACTTGCCACAACTGTATTAAAGGGCATGCCGATTTGCTCTTAGGGGTCGTCCGTAATTATCGAAAAATTAAAAAATCCGTCCTCGTGCAAAGTTCTCTCTTACCCACTCACCCACCTCCCATTTTTTCCATTATTTTTTTGATTTTTACCGATGCCCGGCTCGAAAGTAAGAACTCCTGAATCCTGACCCCATGTTCACTGATTGCACCTACATGTACATGAATGTCAAGTACTAGTAGCTAAGTAAAGTGAGTAGGTCTACCGACGGCCATGCACGTCCTACAACTACAAAAGAGTCATGTACCGGTATATCATACTGGTGTTTGCGATCCTACACTACGGCTGTGTTTACATGAAGCGTTTCAACCCGGGTTGAGTTCGACCCGGGTCAGATTTCAACCCGCCATGTGCACAAAGTGAATGGCGCGTTTACATGACGCATTGCGCTTGACCCGGGTTGAAATTTCGCCCCGGGTCGATTTCAACCCTCCCCCCAAGGGGAGGGTTGAAATCAACCCGGGTCAAGAAAATCGTACAAACATACCTCTGTGCGTATCTCGCGCCAGGTTTGAACGGCACTGCAGGTGCAAATTTCGCGCGAATGGATTCACGTGACCATACAGGACTGTAGAAGTGGACTTTTGGCGGCATATCAGTATTTGACC